AAATGAGAACAGATCTACCTCAAGATCTGGCCATACCACTCTTGGGCTTATACCCAAAGGGTACTTCATCCTACCGGAGAGACATTTGCTCAACCATGTTCATTGATGCTCTATTCATATAGCCCAAAATTGGAAATGACCTAGATGTCCATCAGCAAATGAATGTGTAAAGAAAATGTGATATATTCATACAATGGAGTATTGCTTAGCCCTTTAAAAATGAAACGATGAAATTTGTGGACAAATGGATGGGACTAGAAAAAAAAATCATCCTGAGTGAGGTAACCCAGACCCAGAAAGCCAAACATGGCAGATATTTTCATACATGTGGATATTAGCTATTAAGTCAATGAAAAGCAAGCTATAAATCTTTAGATCCATAGTTGTTAGTTGTAGAATAAGGGACTAAGGCAGACAGATAGATCTCCCTAGGAAAGAGACATATGATAGATAGTTATGGATCGATGGAATTGGGGGATTAAGCAGGGAGGAGGAGGAAAAAGAGAGATGAGGGCTGGAATATGGGGAGGGATAGCTAAAACTAAGGGCCATTTCAGGGGTAGTATGGAAATGTGACACAGTAAAAGCTTTCTAAAATGTGTATATACATGAAAGCGATCTAAATAAAATATAGACAAATAATGGGGGAAACAGAGCCCCAAATGGACATCTCTGTCACCAAGCATCCAGTACTGGGGTTGAATTACATCTAATTGCGTTGTTGACCAAAGGGGTCCCATGGGAACCCCCGAACACCCCAGCTGTTGCCAAGACTATAGGTTGCTCACTACAATTGATGGCAAGGCCCTAACGCTGAAGATAACACTACACAACGCTTTGAACATGAATAAGCCAATCTGATGCCTACCTAGAGCCTTCATACTCATGGGCTAGTGTTCTTGGTACAGGAAGGTACTCTGTATGCTAACAAAGGAGAAATGTAAACAAACACCAACCCAGCCACAATGGTGACCTTCCTGCAAGACAGGCCAGTGAACAAGATAGGGTGGCAGGGGCAGTGGTGGCACACGCCTTTAATCCCAGCACTCAGGAGGCAGAGACAGGCAGATCTCTGTGAGTTCAAGGCCAGCCTGGTCTACAGGACAGGCTCCAAAGCTACAGAGAAACCCTGTCTCGAAAAACAAAAACAAAAACAAACAGAAAAGGATTTAGGAGCTGGAGAGATGTCTCAGATGTTAAGAGCACTGATTGCTCTTCCAGAGGACCTAGGTTCAATTCCCAGCAACCACATGGTATCTCACAACCACCTGTAATGAGATCTGGTGCCCTCTTCTGGTCTGCAAGGATGCATGCAGGCAGAATACTATATATATATAATAGTATTATATATATATAATATTATATATATATATATATGACAAATAAATAAATAAAAAAGGTAAGGTGGCACAAGGCTTTGGTTAAGGAACTAATTATTATTTTTTGTTCATAGTAACGGTAGTTTTTCCTAAAAGTTACAGGGATACAGGGTTTGCTGAACACCTTCCCTTCATTTAACCATGGCACATTCTGATCATGTAGCATAAACAGAATCATCTCTGGCATTCAGGGTTTATTCGAACATTTTTTGAGGGACTGGAGTTAAAACCTGCTCAGCAGTCTCAAATTCTCCTCAAGCCAGGCACATTTGCTTTTCTGCCTTAGTGAGTCTTTCCAGTGAGACCTGAGAAGATTTTTAGATGTTGTTAATATCTTTTGCTATTTGTCCATGAGCTCAGAAAAATATGCTTATAAGGACTTACTTTTATTTTTCATTAGTATTTTTAATTAACATACAAAGTAATATGTGGTTTCATTATGATATTTTCATTCACATGCGCCATTATATTTTGTTCCACTTCATCACCTACCCCCCCCCCCCCCGCAAATGTTCTCTGTCCCCGTTTCTGGCTGGCTCCCTTCTTCTCCCCAGACAGCCTCCTCTGATTTCATGATACAAGTCCTCCAGTGACTTTCTTTTCATCTCTCTCAGGATCACTTTCTTCCTGCCATGATGCCTTTTATTGTTTCAACACATGCACACACGCACAACAAATTCTCAGTAACACATGCAGTAGCACACACACACACATGAACACACCCATGCACCCATGCATACATGCACAAACATGCAAATGTGTGCACGTGCACACATACACACATGTGCACATACATTCACACATATGCTCCCACACATGCATGCACACTCATGCACACATGCACAGGTACATGCACACACACACACACACACACACACACACAATTTTAAATTTAGATTCCACATTGAGTGAAAACACACTGTATTTCTCTTTCCGCATCTGACTTATTCCACTTAATACAAAGATTTCCAGTTCTACTCACATGATTTCATCTTTCTTTACTGCTGAAGAAAATGCAGCTGGACCATGTTTCTTTATTCATTCATCTGCTGGTGGGCATCTAGATTTGTTTCTTCCTTGGCTACTGTGAATCATGTAATGAACACAGATGTGTAAATAGTTTAGTGGTCCGTTGACTGAGAGTCCTTTGGGTGTAGGACAGAGCAGGATCACTGAGTTGTATGGTGGTCCTATTTTTAAATTCTGAGGATTCTCCATGCTCATTTCCTGTGTCTGTATAACTTACATTTCCATCAGTAGTTTGTGAGTATTCTTTCCCCACATCCTTGCCAGGATGTGTGACTGTTCTCTTCTTGGTAAGTCTTGTCAGATGGAGTCTCAAAGCAGGTTTAGTTTCTTTTCTCCCACTGGTCAAGGATGTTGAAAAATCTCCAAGTTTCTTTTTTCTCTCTCTTTTAAGAATTAT